TGGATACCGAGACTGGCTAGCTATGGATGAGGACCTAGGCGACGAAGAAGCTGAACGTGTTTTGGCGCCCCATGTTCAATCTATGGCAGCTGCTTTCGAACGATCAAACTCAAAATACACATCCGAACTCGATATGCTTGAGGCAGAGAATGCACGACTTCTCAAAGAAATCGAAGATTTAGAAAAGTCGACACCAGACCCCGCAGTTCTAGATCACCACTTCAAGATTATGGAAGAGGACAAGGTCAAGTTCGAGGAGTACAATGCGCTGGCAATGCAACGGTCCGAGAAGTACGAGAGCCGGTCTCAGGTTCTACAAGAAGAGCTCGATAAACTTTTGGAAGAACTCCAAGAAGCCGACGAGGAGCGACGTAGCTTGCAAAAGGCGGTTGATGCTCAAGGAATCAGCATGCAGGATATTGACCGCATGACTGCTGAGCGGGAGCGGTTGCAAAGGGGTATTGAATCCGCCAGCCAGCGACTAGAGGAAGTGAAGAAGAAGGTATCAGATCGAGAAGTAGAGGCGAGCCGAAAACTGGACGAGTTGGAACAAATGGTTGATCAGTACAACACAATGGCGTATCAGATCGCATTGATCCCCTCGACAGCAGCCAATGCTAAGGGCAGGGAGTTTGAACTCCAAGTTATAGTGGCAGACGACTCCGACTTTACGTCTTCCATCATGAAAGGCTCCTCAGGGCCATCATCAGTGGATCGTCTTGTAGCTGATTCTACCACTGGACATCAGGCAGGCCACATCCTCAATCTGGACCTTCGAGGTAAAATCCGTAATAGTTTCATTTCGCTTCGCAAGGAAATTTCCGATCGACGAGCTACAGCAATGGATGAGATGATCAAAGACCACGACCTATTGGATGGCATCAAAGAAGCCATTGAAGATAGGCGTGGTGAGGTCGAGGCTCTCAACCATCGTGTCCGCGCAGCTGAAGAAGAGTACGAAAAGACAAAGGAGGTTACGACAGCGCAGAAGTTAGCCTCTGATGCACACATTGAGAAGATGGAGAAGGAGCTATCTCGCATGCGAGCCGGTTTATCCGAGAATGTTCAAATCCTGGAACAGCGCGAAATCAACACAACAATTGAGTAAGTGAAACCTTGGACTACAGTTGGAGTAACACATACTAACCAGACAACCAGATATGAACAACTTGTGCTTCAAGCCAATGCTCTTCGAGAGGAGCTTCACACGGAGATTGACCGAATGCTCAACGACGTAATCAAGTTCAAGATCCATGTCCAAAGGAGCCTTGACGATTACGAAGGTTTCGTGACAGAAGAACTCGAGAAGGAGCTCGGTAGCGACGAGATGCAGGAAGACACTCGACAAATGGATATGTGATGAAGTCTACGTATGAAGCAATATTTCAAGACGCTTATGATGACGATTAATGCTTCGGGCGGCCTTTTTTGTTTTCTGGCGTTTGGCTGAGTGATGGATGGATGGATGATTAGTTGGAAACAACAAGTTGCGTCTGGCTGGTCCGTGTCTATATTACGCTTCTTTCTCTTCTTGTGGATAATTACAGGACGCGTGTGCGTGCCTTTTGACGAGAGCGAGTTTGAGTTGAGCATGGAAGGACATGTTGATACCTGGTTGATTTTTTTTTTGGTGTTTTTCGAGAAAGGATACCACGAGCCTACTTGAAAGAGCAGGCCTTGATGAACAAGTTATAGCGTACAAATAGCATGAAGAGATACTGTTTCTGATGAGTCTGACTTGGCAATGTCGTAAGCTTGACTGACAAGAAGGGGCCGCCATGCAAGGGCACCACATGGCCATGGCAAGGGTGATAAGCACCTTGTCAGGAGTGTCACCTATGGTAAGGCTGCTTTTGCGGTTTGATCATCTTACGCTGCGGCTCATCTAGTACTATGTAAGTTAGATGATATCTTGGTAAGTTGACGACCAAGACACACGGCCAGCGGAAGCTGTAACCGTGATTTCGGCAAATTAGCAACTAATTCCACCAAGAACGTGGGAAATTCCAGAATCGACAAGGATACCACGTGTTCTGTTACATTCGGGAATTGCTTGTTCCCCGGATGATCATGTTCCAGAAAACCCGTGTAGGGAAGATTGCAATTTGGGCAGCGAAGAGTCTTTTGGCTCTGCAGGGGTTTGTTTGGAAAGAGGGAGCCTAGGAATTAATGAGGTTATTATGAAAGACATAGATATCCTGTGCACACACGTCTGAGCCACATGTGATAGTGATGTATTGTGCTTTTCACCTGCATTTACCGAAACCTAGTGGTTGCACTAAGATAGGTGAAGCATACTATGAGCTATCTAAACTAAACCACCTAGGTTTAGTTAAGTAGTGGTAGCAGAACATTTTACCCGAGTTTATAGCTCCAACACTAGTTAGGTGTGATGTGTTGCAATACACTTACAAAGTTATGAATGTCTCGATGTCATGGATTTTGAACTTCCTTCACTTCGTATTACTAACATAAAAAAACCCACCGTAAAAAAACCCAATAAATATCAAGACATTCCAGGCTCCCTTGCTTTCTAATCTCGGTACTATTGGTTCTTTTGCGGCTTCCATGATCCTTCCATCTATCCGTCGTTGATCCAAAGAGGAATAACCTGTCTATACTGCAATTGTCATAGCTTCACCACAATAGTTCCGCCCCTGCAGATAAATCGTCCAACTCACTGACCTCTTCTCCATATTACTTTTTTGTCTAGACTCTTACTAACCTCCTCCACCTCACGACTCGTTCTTTTTTTCCGTTCTTCTCTTTTTTCCTCTTTTCCTTGGTGTCTGTGTCTGTGTCTGTGTCTGTGTCTGTGTCTGTGTCTGTGTGTCTGTGTGTCACCTCGTTCAAGAGAATGGTCAATCACCAGACTAATCTTCCTCCCTGTTCGCCTTAATCTGCCCACCCCTACCCTCTTGGTGCAACTCTGCAGGACCCCGAAGTCTCCGGTCTGGGATATAACATTCCCACATGCCGCGTACCTATCCGACGATCCGTCGACTCAGTCATCATTTTGGATCAACGTCGAATATTAGACCTGTCGCTGCTGCTCTCGCATACTCTACAGCTTCCTCGGCATCTTCTTCCATCATGGCCACCACAGCAAGCGCCGCTTCATCACATCTGAAGCCCACGGAATTGGCTTCCCAGAGTACGCCTCGTGGCTCAATGGCTGCCACGACTGCTGTTTCAAAAATCCCAGGGCGATCTGCTCTTCCAGATGAAGCTGTTTCTAACCCTCACCACGTTCTCAAGCGCGGGTCTGTCAAGGGATTTAAGAACCCTTATCCTTCCTGCGCAAACAATCCCAACTTTGGTACCATGGTCCGAAAGATTTGGTGGTAGGTGGCAGCTTCACCATGCGCTCAGCTCCAACAAACTGACCATTTTAGGCCCTCAATCACTGGCGATCTCAAAAAGCCCGACCTGACTCCTCCTCATGTACCAGTCGTCAAGCCTCAATGGAACACCGAGCGCGAGACTGCCGATAAGATCCGTGCGACATGGCTAGGCCATGCCTGCTATTACGTCGAATACCCTTCTGGCCTGCGGGTCCTATTCGACCCTGTCTTTGAAGATCGATGCTCTCCATTCAGCTTTATGGGTCCCAAACGATATACTCCCAAGCCTTGCGATATTAAGGATATTCCCATCGTCGACGCTGTCGTTATTAGCCATTCCCACTATGATCACCTTTCACATTCCTCTATCCTCGAAGTTCAAAAATACCACCCAGACGCTCAATTCTTTGTTGGATTGGGGCTAGAAACGTGGTTCCGCAAGTCAGGCATCAACCATGTTACCGAGCTTGATTGGTGGGAGGATGCCGACCTAACCGTCACGGTCAAGGACGGAGATAGCTCACGCGAAATCAGTGCTCGCATTTCAGCCTTGCCAGCACAGCACAGCTCTGCTCGAGGTTTATTTGACCGCGATACTACCCTCTGGTGTTCCTGGGGTGTCAAGTCTGGTGGAAAGTCGGTTTGGTTTGGCGGCGACACAGGCTACCGAACTGTCCCAAGTCTTCCACCCGGAACTGATGATTACAGCGCCGAGTACGACCACCTTCCGAGGTGTCCTCAATTCAAACAAATTGGTGAACTCCGTGGACCTTTCGACCTGGGTCTGATACCGATCGGCGCATACCACCCCCGAGCAGCCTTCTCGTCTGTTCATGCCGACCCAAATGATGCCGTTGAAATCTTTCGCGACACGAAATGCCAGCGAGCGATGGGTATACATTGGGGCACCTGGGCGCTCACAATGGAGGAAGTCTTGGATCCCCCCAAGGTACTGAAAGAGGCATTACGCAAGAGAGGCATTCCGGAAATCGGGGTGTTTGATGTGTGTGATATTGGTGAAGCTAGAGAGTTTAGCTGAACCTGAGGAAGACGTGCAGGAGTTATAAAAGCGACATGTTTAAAGGCGGCTATAAATACCCCTATTATCTTTAGTTTGAGTTGGATATCATGATATCTGTGTCGAGAGTGCACCACGCGTGGTTGCTGTACATTATTCTCTTTTGGTTCAGTTACAGAGATTGATGATAGAAAGTATATAAATTTCTTTTCTTTTTACAATTCCAATGTCAGCTTTAAGCTTGACTATAAAGCTTGGATTCATAGCATGATGTCACAAGCAGGACCCTGGATCGACAGCTTATCAAGATTCCATCCAATCAGGCTACATATCCGCCAACAAAAGCAAAATGTCCATCGTCCCGTCTTGTTTCAACGGGTCAAAACGGAGCTTTATGGCCTGTATTCTTCATCTTTCGTACATGACTGGCTGTTTTCCATGTCTTGTTCCACGACAGCTTCAGCCACAGGTGACGTACCCCTACGCCACAGTTTCGCCACAGTAAATGTATAAGAGGTTGTTCAAGAGTCAGTCATTGACAAACTCAACACCTTCAGCACAATTCATCGACAACACCTACAACCTTAAATCAACTACTCAAACAGACCATAACACTTGCATATTCACAAACTAGCAAAATGGGTCTCCCTACTTTCTCAGAGTCAACAACTACAACATCAACATCCACTCAAACCCCGCAAGAACAACAGAACAACACTGGCGTTGCTACAGGTGCAGGCGCAAACACTGGTGCTGGCGTGACGAGACCAAAGACTGAAGCTGAGTTGGAGGCTGATCGTCTTTACGAGGAGGCTATGGAGGAGGAGTACGCTAAGCGAGATGGAGGTTCATAGAGGAATGAGCACTAGTTTCGATGGAAGAGCGAATTCATGAGTTAATGTCATGGAGTTGTGTGCGAAGACGATACACAATGACCTCAAATAGACATTCTCAACTCTAGATGGAACGAAACAGAAAAAACAAATAATCCTAAACGAATGAATTACCCATTTTAACACCGCGCTACTGAACTCCTAAATGATAGCTCTCCAGTTACATATACATAGACAATGACAAAAACATGAGAGTTATTAAACTGCGACTAGTATTGTCCTTTGTCGTTCTATATACACGTTTCTCAAATTAGGATATTTACATGTCCTGTGGATCTCTATGTGGATGTATGGTTGGGATTGCCCCTTTAAACGAAAGGACATTGTCAGACCCCTATCGCTCAATCTCGAAGCTTGAGATGGCTTGTTTCGTATCAGGACACATGGTATTGAAAACGGACCACAGAAGTCCCTTTTAACCATCCTCGGTGTCGCTTTAACAACAATAGGACGTTGCCTGTGGAGCTGCTGCAAGTGTATGTTATGTCTGTTGTGCAGACATCAAGCTGACTTGTATAGCCAGTTGAGTTATCGTAGCACTGCGAATTTGGGCGACCTCTAGATCTCAATTTGGTCGCTCCGTCCATCGCCGCATGTCGTATCCCATAAATTTGTCCCCGAGTCCTACATAGCCTAAGATTGGGGACTCAATCGAGTAACGTTGCAGGTACTCGGAAGTAGAAGAACCATCAAAGCCTATACTTTAACCACTCTCTCTCATTCTTGCAAGGGCAGCTGCAATGCCTTCACTGACTTGGTCATCCTTATCTGTTTGACTCGTTCGACTAGCTTCTTCTGTCTGGGCAGTCTTCTTTGAAGCTTCAATGGCAGCAGCAAGCATGGCTTCTTCATCGTCTTCATCCTCATCATCAGTGTCCGCCATAAACTGGAACTGCTTTGACGCCTGGCCCTGGGGGTTTTCAGAAGAAGACGTTTCTTCGGCGGGGGTTTGTCGTGAAAAAGATGATGCTACAGCAGCTGGCATGTCTCGTAGAGGTACACGAGAAATGGGTAGAGCTTGGTCAAGTCTCGCTGAAGCCTGTGCGCCTCTCTTTGCAGCCTTTTTTACTCTGAACGGTTCTTCAACCGCAGAAACCCATCGTTTTACCTTGATACCGCCCCAGCCGTTAAGCATACCGAGCTGCTCCGCATCGGCGTTGATGGCATTCCTCAAACTGCCAAAGTTGCTTACTACGGCGACAGCATCCGACTTATTCAGACCTCTAGGCACGGTGACGAACTCGACGAGCCTCTCGCCGTAGCTCGAGGGCTGCTGGCCACGAATAGCGCCAAAGGAGGCGTTCTCGTAGCTCTTGTACAGCTCAATGTAGCGCGCGGCTTCGGCGGCGGACCAGCATAGTACGAGGGTGACGTTATTGACGAGGGATGTTTTAGAGAGTTCTTTGAGGGAGGCTTCGTGGTTGGTGATGTCGACCATTGTGAGAAGGATGCGCAGGTTATATTTTCCCTGAAGATTGCGGATGCGAGTGTAGATGTACTCGGGATGAAGACGATGATACTTAAGACTATTTGAGGGTTATCAATATGAATCTTTATGTCTAACAGTAGTGGCATACCTCAAGAATAGAGCGCATGTACCTAGGCCCAAAACATAATCGGCCGGAATATCGCTGTACTCCCATGGCATAGATCGAATGCCTGTAAGCACAGGATTTCCTCGCTGACGGGGCGATACCAAGATTGTTGATCCAGACTGTTTCTGCGGTAGGGCTTGGGGTGTTGGTTGTACTACTTTTCCTGCGCTCGAGGCCGAAGAAGGAGGCGCTTTGTCGAGTCGTTGAGGCGTGGGTTGCTGGATCTTTGATGGTGTTGGTCGTGCGACTGGTGCTGGATCAGCAGCTGCCAAGGCGGCCAGAAGTTCGTCGTCGGCTCCGTAGTCGTCGTCCATTTTGTTTTTATTATGATTCTTATTACGGGAGAGTGTTCAATTGATTTAGCGATTATTCGCTGTTTGCTGAGAGGTTGAATGACGAAGGGAGATTCACGCGACGCATTGAGTTGCGGTTCGAGCTAGAGTGGGTCATTCTCTTACAGCGACATGTATCTTAGGATTTGGGTAGGTCTGTCTATGTATGAATATTGATGGCTCTCTTCTTAGCTGTACTTTTGAGGTTATCTAGATAAATCGTTCATTCTTTATCCTTTACTATAGGCCTGGTCAATTCAATGGATATGTAGTGCGTATCAGTGTTCGCAAGAAGCAACGACGTCATTATCATGGATCTGGTAAGCGAGCACTATTCATGTCTAAAAGACGATATATCTAGTGAATAGAGTTTGATATCAGGAACCAGCGCAACTATATCATCAGTAGCTTTTCTGTTGGTCAACTCTATGTCTCCTATCTTGGTGAGATACCTGTTGACTACAGCATTCTGATGAAGTGCATCTTTTGCTTGTCCGAGGTTACAACGCCATCCCAGCTGGATGTCAATCAGTTCGCCACAATCAGCTTTCTGATGCGACCCAGTCCTGCCAAATCATCAAGATCATCATGAATTCTATTTATATCTTCCTCGCGACGATCTTCGAAGACGTGGCAGTGTTGATCTTTCCAACTGACCTCATATCGACGAACGACAAGACAAGTTACTCAATAATGAATTCAAATGATGTAAACTAGACTAAAACAAATTACTCCAGGTATCTACCATCCAGCAGCTATATCCATCCAGCTGCATTTTGTCCATGCCAGTGATTCCTCTGGCCGCGCCCAAAACGCCAATTCCATAATATTCGTCATCATGTCCACTAGAAACAAATCGTGAACAAAAATCAGTTTCGTAATTTACTCAATCCAGTTCCTCTTCCAATCCGGCATATTCCGTAGGGCTGGGCAATGTGCTCTCTGTAAGAGAAGAGTGAATTGAGTACAATGATGCCAACCAGCAATCAAACATGGTCGCAACCTTTTGCGCCTCCGCGTTGGACGGTTCTTGTCTCGTTAGTTGATCGCGGAGTCTCTCGTAGGCCTCAATCATAACCCATATCTGCAAAGCCGCCGTGTTCTGTCCATTGCGCTGTGGTCGACCTGTCATAACGGAAGATAATTCGCTCGTGAGGAGGTCGAGCGCTATCTGAAGACTGATATTGTCCTGGAATGAGTGCCCTGATGATGATGATGGTCTAAATTCGTCTGTCCAAGAGTGTCGTGGTGTCCCAGGGTATTCGGGAGAAGGTGGTGGTGAGAAAGAGTAGGGTTTAAAGTAAATAGTATCGCCTTCAACAGCTGCCACGTTCGTATCGTGGGTAGGAGCTGATCTGAGTCTGGGTCTGAGTTGGCGGGGTATAGCAGTCATTGATGAGGAAGTGTTTGCTGTTCGCATGCTTTGAGATCGTTTAGCCGCATACGGAGGGATTTGAAGAGGAGTGTCGTCGAATGAGTAATGCGATTCGCGCGATGGTGAAGGTAACTGCGAGTCAAGCGCCGGGGGACCATCTCTTGTTTCAAGAAGGGCATGATATTGATCAGCGATCAACTCAACACTTGAAGTCTTTTCTGGTACATCTTTTGCTTTGCGCGCAAGGGCATGTTGCTCTAGTTGACCGATTCGAAAGACGGGCGTCTTGGCCTGCCGTCGCATAGCGGATGATGTTGATGTTGAAGATGCTGTCGAAGGGAGAGATGAGCGATCTAGGGATGGCCGGGCCCTGTTCTCATGGAGAGTCAAGTGGTGAAATTCGGGAATCTGACGATGAGAAGATTGTCCTTGCGGCGGAGGACTAAAGCAGGCGGCCCTCGGTTCAGGTTCGGGATGTTGGACTGGCTGGTGTTGATTCATGTTTTGTTCCTCTGACTCTGAGAATGAGGGAACAAGAATAGTTTTGGGCCGGAGATAATGATCCCATTTGGAGTCGCTGAGATCAGGCGCACCGTTTGACATTTGACGCTGCGTGGGTGAAGACATGGGGCTTAGACTAGCCATAGTTGATGATGAGTGAGAATCTGTAGAGCCTCTTTTGGCTTTGTTGAGGCCTTTGAGCTTGGGGTCGAGTTTTTGAAGTTTGCGCCTCGGAGGCTTTAGACTGTTACTCTTTGAGAGGGGGTTTTCCATGATGGGCAATGTCGCATTAATAACGATAATAAAATATTGTGTGTTAATGAGGATAAGCGCGGATTGTAGAGTAAAGGGTCGTCGTGGATAGCGGTGTGTTTTGGTTGATAGTGGTCACGGGTGGTTAAATTTACGGATATAATAGCCATGGGGAGATGTATTGTAATTATATGACCAAGAGAAAGAAAGTAATGGAGAGTTATAAAAAACAAATGTGCAGCAGACCAGAACTAGTTCTCAAGAACTACATGTACGTAGTAATAGACTAAAGTAGAGCCGAGATAAGTTGAACCACTGTACAAAGTCTTACCGCTTCCCTGGCCCCAAGTGGCTTCAGACCTGCATGTTAGATTACAAGGCCCCAATCAAGAGACCACGAGGGAGAAGAGAATACCCACGTCATGGGTCATTCAGGCGGAGAAGTGCTGCAGCTGTAGTTAAAGAGGGAGAGAGGGAATAAAAAAAGGGTTGGGGATAGGACAGGACAGGGATTATAACCTGCAATGCAATGCAAGTTTTCAACTTTTTTTTCTGGTAGCGAAGAACTAGAAGAAAGAACACCCACAGAAAGAGAAAAGGCAGGACAAGGGTGTGTACAATCAGTTAGTATCTTGCTGTTTATGGATACAAAAATCAAGATTCGTTACGAATACTTGCCTTGTCGGGTACCTAAGTATATGACCCAGACAGGCCACCCTTCAACATTCCATTCTACAGCGGTGAAGAAGCCAATGTGACAATAAGACCCTGTAGCCTGTCTGAGTCTTTCAAAAGGGAGTGCCTTGCCTAGTGGTGAACGGTTGTCAACCCGAATGGTTCTTTGGTTAGTTCGACTGATGTCATGTGTGCCATTTATGAACCGAGCCTAGGAAGACCCTTGAAAGAAGGCCTGAGCTCAATGTTTATCACGATTGTCGAGGGCGGGACTTGATTATTCTCGTCAGCCCAGCCCGGCTGGGAGGTCCCGAACCCGACGTGTTGTCCCTGCAGTGAAACTATTGTTATTGTTGACTGAGCTGAGAGAGTTTTTGATGTACGTGAGATTGATCACTTGACGCGTCTGTCTTTGCACCAAATAGATAATAGCATTTGAGCAAGACTCAAAACACGAGAATTTCATCTTTGGTCTTTTATATTCCTCATCGTCATTGATTTTTGGTCAGACACATCAGGATAGTAGAATTAAAGCCTCGGCGGTTCCTTTTGTTGAGGAAACCTTTTTTGTTTATGGAGGAGAACAAATACGAGAACAAGGCTAAAGTCAGTCACATCAAGTGATACAGTGTTTTTGATAGTGCCAAAACAGTGATGGATACTGTATGGACTTGTCGAGTGGCTGTTGATAGAATAAAAGAATAAAGAAGGATATTACTTTAATTATAGTAAGCCTTTAACTGTAAAGAAATAAAATCTTGATTAGACATAGGATGATAGATAACATTACACAATATCTGAATATTTCCACATTATCACTCTATGCCTAGGCACTCTCTATTGATGACCTGTGCCTGGAGGTATAGTGAGGGGTAGATACTCGGATCGAATCGCGGGGATATATCGTGGGGTCAAAAGACAGGAACATCACGAGACATCTAGACTCCAATATCGGACCCTTTCATAAATGGGGTCAATTCTCATCGCGGGGGCGGGGATGTTTACTTGTTAGGATGATATTAATAGTACATTGATCTACCTAATATCTATACTGTCAGTCCAAGTACTCTCAGATCATCCATCAACTAAACCCCCAAAACTCACAATCCACCCCCAACTTCTTCTCCTCTCTAACCCTCAAGCATCAACTTGCCGATTAACCGACTCCTCTTCTCATGATACAACACAAATTATCTTTATGGGGGTTCTTGGCCAAAATAATAATAATTAAATGGGTCATTTCGATTTATCCATCAATCAAACATGTTAGAATAGTTCGTCATGGCATCTCGACCCTTCTCTTTACCCCACATGTTGTTGTCTACTGTGAGGTATCATGAGGGAGACGAGATGAGACGGTGTAAAGAAAAGAGTATAAAGCATGACATTCCCAGTTGCTTTATCTTTAATTTAGCCTCAATTGAATATATCTCTTCTCTCTTTACTCAACTCTACTGACCTTGTGTCCTTGGTCTCATCATAACTACTCTCAGTCTCGTGTTAAGCCCTCATCCGACTGTAGCTACTCCTTCCCCTCCCTCCGCGTTCGGAACCCCCCACCTCGACTATATCTCTCCTCATGCTTTATTGAGCTCCCTCAAGCTTCAACTTCAACTTCAACTCATAACCGAATCCTACAAAACCGCAATCATGGGTGAAATCACAATCACTGGCTGGAAGACTCGCGATGTTCGCTTCCCTACCTCCCTCGACGGAACTGGCTCCGATGCCATGAACGCTGCTGGCAACTACTCCTCCGCCTACTGCATTCTTCAAACCGACTCTGACTACACAGGTCATGGAATGGCAAGTCACTCACTCACCAACATAAACCATGTCTAACTCTCTTCTAGACCTTCACCATCGGCCGTGGAAACGACATCGTCTGCGCTGCCATCAACCACGTCGCCGAGCGCCTCAAGGGAAGAACTCTATCCTCTCTCGTCGCAAACTGGGGTCAGACATGGCGCCATCTCGTCAACGACAGTCAACTCCGCTGGATCGGTCCTGAAAAGGGTGTCATCCACCTCGCCCTCGGCGCCGTCGTCAACGCCGTCTGGGATCTCTGGGCAAAGACCCTCAACAAGCCCGTCTGGCGCATCGTCGCCGACATGAGCCCCGAGGAGTTTGTCAGCTGCATTGACTTTCGCTACATCACCGATGCCATCACCCCCGAGGAGGCCATCGCTATGCTCAAGGAGCAGGAGCCTACCAAGGCCAAGCGTCTCGACGAGGCTCTCAACAACCGCGCTGTGCCTGCTTACACAACAAGTGCCGGCTGGTTGGGCTATGGTGAGGATAAGATGAAGAGCTTGCTTCAGGAGACTCTCAATGCTGGATACCGACACTTCAAGGTCAAGGTCGGTGGTGATATCGAGCGTGACCGCAAGCGATTGAGCATCGCTCGTGAGGTTATTGGCTACGACAAGGGCAATGTCCTCATGACAGATGCTAACCAGGTCTGGTCCGTCCCTGAGGCTATCGACTACATGAAGCAACTAGCCGACTTTAAGCCTTGGTTCATCGAGGAGCCCACATCGCCCGACGACATCCTCGGCCACAAGGCCGTTCGCGACGCCCTGAAGCCTTATGGCATTGGTGTCGCTACCGGAGAGATGTGTCAGAACCGAGTCATCTTCAAGCAACTTCTCCAAACAGGCGCCATCGACGTCTGCCAGATTGACGCCTGCCGCATGGGTGGTGTGAACGAGGTTCTCGCCGTTCTCCTCATGGCCAAGAAGTTTGGCGTGCCCATTGTTCCTCACTCTGGCGGTGTCGGTCTCCCCGAGTACACCCAGCACCTGAGCACCATCGACTACGTTGTTGTTTCCGGCAAGCTTTCCGTTCTCGAGTACGTGGACCACCTCCACGAGCACTTCTTCCACCCATCTGTTATCAAAGACGGATACTACACTACCCCCACGGAAGCCGGTTACAGTGTCGAGATGAAGCCTGAGAGTATGGACCGATTTAGCTACCCTGGTGAGAAGGGTGTGAGTTGGTGGACGTCAGATGAGGCCAAGGTTATTCTCGATGGTGAGAAGATCTAAGGGGTGTTGGAAAATAATTGGATTAGAAGATGTGTTGGTTAGATGGCTAAAATATTGTTTATAAGAATCATGAATTTATGACATTTACAACTTGAGCTATTACAGTAGATTTTACATCGGTGCTTACATCTCTAATCGTTGACATATAAACTGTGCTATATCTCCCAGCTCTTCAGGACAATACCAATGTCCCATGTCAGAGTATACCTTCAACTCAACATCTATACCCATACGTTCCAGACACATGGCAGCTTTCTGACCATGACAAATCTCGACGTCTTTATCTTTTCTTCCATGGCCCATGAGTACAGGAGTTTTTAAGAAAGGAAATGAATCCGCTGGCGGCTCAGGGTCAAGCTCTGCTTCTTCACGAAGCTCGTCAATAGCCCGTTGCAGTGGTGTTTTATTCTCCTGCTCATCTTCCCTTTCAAACAACTCATCGTCAGACAAATCTTCGTCTTCTTTAGCCAGAGTTTCGGCCAGGGGCATGAATCCGCTCATTATAACCACGCCGCCTAGACTTTGTCCCTGCCAAAGTAACCAACCCACCAACGCCATAGCACCGCCCTGACTGAAACCCACAAGTACCACCTTTCCAGCATCGCCACCCAGAATCTCAATCTCATTTTTCAGAATCTTATGGATATGTTCAACGCTGGGACGCATATCTCCGCGCGCCTCGGGCTCCCAGTCGCCAGTGCCTTCATACCATTGATGGATCAGTGAGCGACGGTACTTGGTTGCTCGAGCAAGAGGTGCTGTTGGGAAGACGAATCGCGCATGGGGAAGTGATTCATGGAATGATATTGATGGAGTTGTTGAGGGTGTTGTGAGAAGGGGAGAGTGGAATTTCTCAGCGTTGAAGCCACGGCCATGGAGGATGATGATGGTGAGTTTATGTGAGGATAGAGGAGGAATGATTATTGGTGGAGGGAATTCGCCTGGTTTGAGGCTAGAGGACGATGTGTTACAGCTTGTATCCATCTCTGGTGAGTGTATAAATCAACGTCCTTGAGTAAGTGTAAGTATAAGTGGAATATGATGGCGGGTAGACATAGTCTAATCAGTAGAGGTTATGGTCTGAAAGATGCCACATTATTAGACCATCAACGCACAGCTCAGAAAAATAACCAGAGACAATACTAATAAACTATTTAAATCAATCTTAATTTATTCTTAATATGAGTCTCTGCCGTTCAATAAAACAATCCCATTTTATATGCAATGACTTTTGTTACGTGATAACCTTGCAATTGCTTCACCACCACTCCAGCGAACGTGTCCCTATATTTCAAGCCCCACAAACATCCCCTTCCCTCAACCTCATCACCTTCAACAAACTCACTCCCCAAAATGAATCTCTTCAACTATGAATCCCGTCCAATCCTCTCTCTAACAACCATCTTCGCCGCCTGGAAAGGCTTCCTCCTCTCCATCGCTCTCGGCGCGTCCATAGGCCCAGACTACGACACATCAACATCTCTCTTCTTTGACATCATCCACAGCTCACCAACGCCCCTAGCTACTCGTCTAACAAGATGGGACGCGCTGTATTTCATGCACGATGCAGTCAATGGAAAAGTCTATGAGCAGGAGTGGGCTTTTGGTATTGGTATGCCAGCTGCTGTGCGTGGTATCTGCGGTTTACTAGGTCTTCGACACTGGGAACCTATTGTTGCTATTGCTATTTCGCACGTTTCGCATCTCATTGCTGTTCTAGCACTCTATCAACTCACTATGGTCATATGCAATGATCGCAAGTTGGCGTATTTGGCTTCGGTCGTACATGTGCTTTCACCTGCTGGATTATTCATATCAGCGCCGTATGCAGAGAGCCCCTTTGCATGCATGTCCTTTATCGGCAATCTTCTCTACGCAATCAGTACCGAAAACAGTCCTGATTCACTAAAACGCAACATTTCTGTGATCGGAGCCGGTTTAGCGTACGGAATTTCGTGCACGCTTCGAAGCAATGGGCTTTTTGGTGGTGTTTTGTTTGCTGTTGAGGCTGTCAAGTGCTTGTTGGCTCTTCGTGACAGCTTCACCATTTGCAAGATCCTGAGACTCATTGCGCCTGTTATCGGTGGTATTTTGGTCGCTATTGGTTTTGTCATGCCGCAAGTTTTGGCTTGGATGAGATATTGCAATGGCGATGGAGAGCAAAGATCTTGGTGCGGACAACGTATCCCAAGTATCTACACATTCGTCCAGGCAGAATACTGGTATGCTCTCTCTAACTACCTACAAAGTAACAACTAACATCAACAGGGACGTTGGCTTTCTCAAATACTGGACTCCTAACCAAATCCCACTCTTCCTCCTCGCAGCTCCTATGCTCACCATTCTCCTCAAGTCAGGAACAGAGACAATGCGTGAACCTTCTCGAGGTCTGAGAGCCATGATGATGGGCACAGATGAACAGTCCCGATTACTCGTGCGAACTCTTGCTGCCATACAAACGCTGCTGGCCATCTTGGCCATTACCAACTACCACGTTCAAATCATCAGCCGCTTGTCGTCAGGATATCCTGTCTGGTACTGGTGGGTAGCATCGTGTCTTGTAGATAAGCAGAGGCAGAGTTTGGGATACGGAGTGGTTATGTTTATTACCATGTATGCGGCTATTCAAGGCGGACTCTTTGCGTCGTTTTTGCCTCCTGCTTAATTAGATACCTACATGTATTTACATAGGTGCTTAGATAGTTGCAATAATTGTGCATCCTGATCAGTGATTGCCTTACTATGCACATTCAACAGTCTCGGGGGACTTAACATTATCATGCTAAACGCTTGTATTATTATTGTGTTGTATAAGACACAACGCATTCGCTGGAAAGTTCGTTACCGTCTACACTGAACCAAAATATCAACGCCGTCAACACCCAAAGAAACGCACTACGTTTATCTCGTTTCACCAGCCCACTGATTATACTCCAACTGTAACGATGCCCCTTGTGCGTACTCTAGAGCTGTTGTCTATGACTCTCAAACTAACTCTGGTCCGGGTAGGTAAAGCCCAAAAGAGCAAGGTAGACATTATGATGAACTCGCCACCGCATCGTCTTCGTCGTGGCTACCTTCTTCCTCCTCCTCTTGACCAGTTTCTCTTTCTGGTTCTGTCGCATCATTCTCAGCAGGGTTGTCTGGGTTCTGGGAAGACCGCAAGACATGGTTTTGCATAAAGGTTCGCATAAAGAGGCGACAGTTAGACTAAAACTCATCCTCTGAGTCACTGTTGTCGTTAACCCTAATGGCTCGCCACCTCCTATCAGTCAAGTCTTGTGCAGCAGTTCCTTCGCTCTCTGGGTCAACATAACCTTGACCTCCGGCGATACTCAGAGCAACGGGCAAGAAGACTAGGGCATGAAGGGCGGCAAATACGACAAGAGACAGCCAAACTCGGAAGTAGTAGATCTCAAAAATCTTGGATCGTGTAAAGGCGAGCACAGAAACACCCAAAAGTTTAGTGACTGTGATACCAGAGAACACGGATCCACCGACATTAACAAGAGCGGTCCAAGCTCGAGCATCACGACCACGGAAGGCGTTGCTATTGCCCTCCATCACGGTGCGCGATGGATACATGAAAGCTCGTGCAATGTGAGCACAGAACTCAACCGAGATACCCACGCAGATGATGAGGTTGACAAGGGAAACGGCATTCAAGGAAACATTGAACAAAGCCATGCTGCCCATAATGTCCACAACACTCATCACAACTGTTACAGATACCACAAGCGCCGTGAGTACTGAGCCTAACAGTACAGATGCAACGATAAAGATGATGCCAACAGCAGCACACAACAAACCGGCCGTCAATGGCACGATGCTGAGATACTGGTCAAAGAAGATATAAAAGACACTGTATGGGAATACATCCACGCCGGTCCTTTCTCCAATATCAGAGGCGATGCGGCGAGCAGCAGAGTAGGCGGCGATGAAGTCTTCTTGGCTCCTCAAAGGGCTATGCATGGTTCGGAAGTGGGTAGACTTGACATGATTTTCCTTGGAGTCCAGGACAACGGCTTGTCCGTACGCAGCTTGGCCTGCTAGGGGACACTCTTCGCCAGTGGGGCTGGAAAGGAACTTCTTCAGGTAGTGGATGAACTCCTCATCCTCAGGCATTCCGTACAGGGTTGTGTTCCAGGCTGGCTTACGATCAGCGAAGCAGGTCTGGCCGTGTTCCACGCAGCAGTCTTCGAAGATCGGGTTCAGCCAGAGGAAGTAATCATCGATCCAACTTGCTGCTGGCGAAGCAATGTAAGAGACTTCCGGTCTTTGTCGTTCGAGCTCCAATGTGTTGGGGAGCGAAAGGTCTTGGCAGGTAGTGAATCTTGAGCATATCGCCTGTTGCTCCTTGCGCTTGGAAGCGTCAACTTCGCGTGTGACAAAGTACACTGGTGGGCCTGTCTCCAGATACCCGTATAGATCGTTGAAAAATGGGATCAGATAAGAGCCATCAGGAATAGCAACTCGCTGGTCAAGGCCAAGTTGAATCTTGGGCAAGAGTGCCAAACCTCCTGCGAACATCCCGAGGAAGATTGTGACGACAGCAAGCTTGACCTTCTTTCCAAGCAAACACGGGGCATATGTGTTCTTGATAAAGACCTGAAGCAAGCTCTCCTCAGCCATGTCTGATCCACGGCCACCTCCCTGAGCAAAACCGTTGCTACCGTTGAGGTGGATTCTCGCCTTAGTGATCTGCCACCATGGCCACAGTTCACACCGATGATCTTCAACTCGCATCTGGTTAAGAGAGAGGAAGGAGACAAACATGGTCATCTGAAGCACTGCGTTGACAAAGACGGCACCAGCAGCATACGCGGCAAAGTTCCTGACTGCCGGCATGCCAACAGCTGTGCCAAGAGCAAAAGCCACAGTTTCTGTAAGAGCAGAGAAGAGAATAGAGGGCCCCATACGACCAAGAGCCCTAGCAACTCTTTCCTCAACCATCTGGTCCGGGAAGCTGATGTTGACTCTTTCAAGCTCATGAACAATCAGGAAAATATTGTCAACACCAACAGCGAGGACAATGAAAGGAATGACTTCCACAATAATGAGTGTGGCCTTCAGTCCAACCCATGAGAAGAAACCAATCGACGCGGCGATGGACATGAGAACAATGAGAATACCGACAAGACCAAGCGTAACCTTTGACTCTACCAAAAGCACGGCAGGGTTGCGGAAGATATGCTTGAGAGGGGTACCGAGGGCCATGCAGGCATAGACAAACATGACGATATAGCTGATGACAATGATCTTGGCATCTGTGTTTGTCGACTTGTTAAGTTCTTGCTCCAGACTGATCTCGGTATTGAAGGATAATCGAAGGCCACGTTCTTTGGCTTCCTCCTGGACCTCGAGCAGACGGTCACGTAGAGCAGTTTCCCAGTCGACAGCCCTGGCAATAGCATCAGTTCCTTCTTTGGCATTATTAACAACCCAGGTTACGGTAATGGCATGGGCGTCCACCACGTCATCATCATAACCACCAAAGATCATGTTGGGCTCAATAGGCTGTCCGAAATCTGGGCGACAGTCTACAGGGCTCTTTGCGCAAGCACGAATATCGTCTTTCCAGAACTCAGGATCCAGTCCGCCCTTGGCGTGCCAGTATGCTGAAACAGACTGCACCACACAGGCATCGTTGGAGGGCTTGAAACATAGATCCTGGAAGTATTTTCCGTAAACAGGGCTCTCGATCTTCTTGACACTCTCCTCAACTTCGATCCACCACTTCAGGGTATCGTAACTAAGTACAGGTCCGGGTCCAGATGGGTTGGTATCGTTTGCGAGGAAGATCTTTTCGGCACGGTAAAAGGGTCCAAAGTTCTCGTCGAAGTAAGCCTTTTCCTGGGCAGCAGCAGAAGATGGGCTCACCCAAAGACGAGCAGGTTCTTTCTCGAGGTCGAAGCGGAACAAGCCAACACTCAGGATGGCAACAAAGAGTAGACTGAGACCAATGCACCATCCAGGGAAACGAGCTGCAATGTGACCAAGCTGGTAAAAGGCTCTGTCACATCGGTCGTTGACCCAGTATCTCTTGGTAGGGCGCTCGCGCATCGCCTCTGTGTCAACCGGTCCACCTTCGTCTTCGTCGTCGCTATGAGAAGATTCGTGGAGTAGTCTTGTCCTTTCGACGCGATGCTGCGAGTACTTTTGGTAGGCAATATGGCCGACGACTGCCAGGATCAAGGTGGACAAAAGAACACCATAAACGAATATGGAGGCAAATGAAAGGCATGGTAGGAGTCCTACTTTGCAAGACTTGGAGTCCTTGACTTCGGGAAGCTTCGGGCATACCTCTGGGCAATCAACACAAACGCAACGGTAATCGGGGTCCTCATCGTTGCACTTCTTCGGCTTCATGTCCACGGGTTGGAGCTCGGGGACCTTTTCCTGTGTCGGGAAGTTGATTTGGAAGGGAGAGCCAGCGAATGGTTTCTTGTCTCCGAGAAACTTGAGCATTTCGGTATAGTTCTTAGCACCGCCACCAATCAGGTCCATGGCCTTGGAGTTTGCGCCGCCAAACTTGACTTCCTTGCAACTGTCATAGAAACCGGAACCATATTTTTCTGACACAAGGTGGTCGAGCTCTGTTACAAGATTCTTGCCGTTTTTGGGAGCAGAGTCGGTAATATTGATAAAGGTGGATTGGTCAGGAGAGCATGTGAATGTGCAAAAGAGGTTGAAGAAGTTGTCTTTGCATGCAGGACAAGAGCCGATGAGTGTGTTCGGGGTACCGAGCTCAGACTTGAGTGATTTGACTTGATCCAGGGTACAGCAGACAGGTCCAGTCCTCCACTTCTCGCCACAAAGACCGACGAGTTCATTGCGAAGCTCCTCATCGGGATTCTCAGCCGGCCCATTGTCGACACATGGGAGTTCTTTTCCGAAAAAGCTCTGCTTGCCACAATGGCCACGGAAAGCGCATCGTCCGGCTTCGTGTTTTGGTGTATATTGCTCAGCGAAGCCTAGCCCTGCGAAAAGCACGGCCGCAGCTCCAAGTTGAGATACAATGGATTGATGCATCTCGAGATGATGGGGCCGCACGCGGCGGTGGATAGATATGGAGTCGTCTAGCTTAGTTGTTGGTCGCGGTTTTTGTGATCAATGTGGTTGGATATCGCTGTCGAATTGACGTACAATGCGACGATAAGCGTGTGATGATGGTTAAGATGTTGGGAAGACAATCATAATAGATTGTACGAATGTAAAGAAAAGGAAAAAAGAGAAACCCTATCGCAAATGGCGGGGAAACTCAAAGGGACGCGTCGGCAAAGTAGGCGCAACCGTTAGGTTACAAGTAGATACTGAGGCAGAAGCAGAGGCAGAGGCTGGAAGGAACGGTGATGTCGTAGCTCGGTGACGGGTACAGTCCAAGCTCTGATCCGATGGCGGGTTAGTGGATGCGACTATAGAGGTCACGACCTTCTGACCTTCGGCTGCGTCATTGTTTCTGTTGTCAAGGCTTGACTATGATTGGTTGTTATCTCCAACTTAGTGGCTCATGCGCTGTAGAAGCCGGGGTTCAGGCCGGGGTCAAGCTAGACCGTTCGTATGGACCTGCAGTCATGAATCATTCAGCTTTCCCCGTAAAACACATCTACCCTAGACATGTGCATGGATTTGTTTGATATCCGTATCAGGTCTTGAGATGAGTTGGCGGAGATATTCATTCCCTTATGTTTTATCTTAGTATCTATTATGGGTATCGTTTCTATCTTGAGAAGAAACGAGGGCTTACATCTTATTATCAGGTGAAGGTTGATGTCTATCAATCTCCAGGTAGGTTTGTCACATCAACCAGCCAGGACAGGGAACAGAACTCACCGCAAAGCAGTCACGTTGCCTGCAGTGGCATGTCAACACTGTAACCCTTGCAGTCTAGTGAATATGCTCATATTATCCATATACATAATAGTGAACTGGCTACTGGGTACCAGAAAAGTTGGCCTCCCAAGCCTTAGGGTACAGAAATAAACAACCTAAGAAGTATAGTCTAAGCAGTCTAAGCAGCATGAATTGGTCTACTAATTTCGTTCGTTATGCTTCTAGCGGCCAATTTTTCTGATACCCTGAGGACTGGCAGTTATCCAAGGCGAAGCATGTCTTACACAGCATATTAAGGTTCTTCACCTCCGATTACTAACGATTGTACTCACCTCAAGCCTCCCCAATTTTGAAACATGCGTTTGCCAAATTCTCCAAGTTACCCGAAATACAGCTAACAACAATGAATAGGCCCGACGAATACAAAAGTACAGATGTGAAAGATGATCTATCTCATTGCTACATTCACTGCACACTGTTGACGGCACGTGATACGCTTAAACAACTACCGCTCACTCCACCTAGGGTAGACTTAATTGACAGCCTGAAAAACACCAACTCTTTCTCTTTCATGCGTCATTATACAAAAAAAAAAAAGGCAGCGGAAACTCTGATACCCAGCGATTGATTTCCCCCTTTTTTTGGTTTCCTATGTCCAAATATAATATGCTCTTTTCTGGAACAAATCATCTTGAAGCTGCCCCTCCCCCAAATCCACAATGTCTAATGAATCAGAGGAACTTGTCCAAAAGCTGGTGGTAGGTCCATCATCATGAGCGCGATGGCTTGGATATGTATATACAGAGTTATCATGGCTTTCTACATAGGACTCACGTCAAGTGTGGCTTGGTCAAGATTACCTAAATTTGAGATACATCTACAAACTATTGTGTCACTGGCAGTGCTCAGAAACAACGCTGACATCTGAACCGTAGGATAAATTCTGCTCACTTTTGGACGAAGCCCTCGTAGTCGCTATCGCTAGCGATCATGATCTCAAAGATGCTTCACAATATGAGTCAGCCCAGACTGTACTGGAGGGTCTCGCTCAGCATGTCACAACAGAAGAAGCCACTGGATTTAACCCAAGTGGTATTTCTAACATACCAGATGATGGAAATGGAGATGAGGGTACAGCTGAGACAAACAGCCAGCAGGCTTCTCGTGCTCATGACACAGATACAACATCTGCTAGTGATCAAACCTCGACATCTACCAACACAACTTACTCTATACCACGACTGACTTCATTCGATGATGACAGTGAGGAGTTTAAGGTTCTTCTCCTGCAGGGCATGTTTAGTGAGCTAAAGGATTTCGACATCAAGCACTGCCTGAAAAAGGCAAACGGAGATGTTCAGACTGCGCTAGATGAGTTACTCAACATCCAGTACCTCAAATCAACTGGACAAGAGAAGAAAGGGATCGATGGATTCTTTGAGCCCGAGGAAGATGGCGGGAAGAAGAAGAGGAAGAACCGGAAGAAGGGCAAGAAAGCTCTCGGTGATGAGTCTCCATCGTCCGGCAGCGGGACTGCTTCTCCCTCTCCAGATGATATGAAGAGCATGAAACGTGAGTTTCCTTTCTACACACACACTGAAATAGTTACCTAACCCTTGCGTGCAGGCCAGGATGAAATCGCGTATCTGGCAGATAGACTTGATCTGCCATTTGTCGTTGTGTCGGACATTTATTATAACAAAAAATGTGCCATCGGCGCTGCAGCAGTTGAGATTCTGGACCGATACATGTCACAAGGCATTGAGACGCAAGATAAAGAAGGGAAAAAGTATGCGCTGGAGCTTGCTGAGAAGTACCAAAATGTTCCGGCAAAGTACATGTCAACAATCGTTCAGGTCACAGGCTCCATCTCCCAGGAATCTGACGACATCGCCGCGCTTGTCAGCAAACATTTTATCAAGAATCCATGGACCGAAAAGCTTGATGTTAGTTACCAACTAACACCACTTCCAGCAGAGGATTTGGAAGGATTCGAGACAATTACACGTGGAGGCAAGTCTAAGCTAGCCAGACCTGTCTCAGGAGGTACGGCTTTTCTCCCTGCCGGGCCGTCAGCGTACGCGCAAGCTGCTGAGAGAGCGGGCCAATACAATCGAGCCAAAAGAGATGCAGCAGCTTCAGCAGCATCATTAAATCGACGTGGTGCTTCCAACCCACTCTACCGTCAGGCAGCAGGATATTACTCAGAAAGAGCAAGAGAACAGGCACGGTATGAGATGAACGCTACGTCATCGGCCGCAGATCTGCTTGTCAACAACCAAAGCTCGTCGACTTCCATCGACTTACACGGCGTATATGTGCAGGATGGTGTGAGGATTGCTCGCCAGCGCGTGCAGGCTTGGTGGAATGGCCTGGGAGAGTTTCGGTCTGATAGGGCACGCCAACAGCCGTTTACTGTCATCACTGGACTCGGCCGCCATAGTGCTGGCGGCGTATCGCACCTGAGACAAGCTGTAGCTGCAGCTTTGCTCCAAGACGGGTGGAAAATGCAGGTCGAGACTGGGCGCTTTGTCGTCAAGGGTAGACGATAAGCGCCAAGACATTCGGGCTGAATGAGCCTCAGCAGTGCCTTTTATTTAAGCGAAATCCATGCTTTCATCAATCAATCGCAGGGTTCTGTTGGAAAATCCTACCCGAGGACATCAACAGTTGTGATGAAATGGCGGTACTATTTACATAACATCATCTCGAGCTTTGTTTGGTTGTTCTGTTTTTAAAAGACATGTTCGGACGTTACCTGACCTGACCTGAATAAAAGAAAAGCTTACGCAGCTCTGATCCACCAAACGAACCCGAAACAGACTCTGGCGAATAGACGATGTGCAGTAGCGCAGCCATCGCTATGGAAACTCATGCCATGCGGGTTGAGGCTGTGCTAGGCACGCACGAAACAAGTTGATCGTTTTCTCTTATCCTATAGTTTGTTGTCGAAGGATTCGGCTACTTCCTAGAAGGGAAATGCTTTAACTCGCTTGGACCAACGTGCCCCCTGGAACCTGTTGGTTGTGCTTCTATGTTGTGGTCTTATAAGTACTCAGCTGTCTGGCACTAATAAAAACACCATGGGATCATATCACAACTAACAAAACTGACCTCGAAAAGACAAGACAATCAGAACCATCGATTAAAATTGCAAACATGGCGGCCAAGACTCCACTTTCTCAGGCTTCCTATCAGCCTGTCCCAAGAGACGACCCTACTGCTGATTTGCTCGAGCCCTCCGAGAGAGACGACAGAGAGGATGGCAAGCCAGCTCTCTTGAGGGTCAAATTCTCCTTCATTCTGTTGTTGAGGTTGTTGATTGCCCCGCTCGTCATCGCCGATATTGTTTTCATGTGCAATCCCTATTACTCTCCCGCCTCAGCCGGCATTTTTGCTACCGGAGGCATCTTGTTAGCCTTCTGGCATGGATTCCGTGTCTTGAAGAGCTGCTTCCCTAGTGGAAGCCGCGACAACTTCAACCTCAAGATCGGAAGCCTGTTCTGCATGTGCGGCACAACGTCGAATTCTCCCACCAGACCCTCCAAGGTGTGGGCGTATCTCGTCAGCCTTGTCGACTTTTCCTTCGGTCTCTTCTTGATCGGCCCCTCTGTCACAGCTCTTGAATACGACAACTTCGGCGATAGTGCAGTTGTTGGAGGATTGAGCATCACCTTGGTGTAAGTATTCATGTTTGTCATATTGAGTTACAGCTGACGTTCTATTCCAGTATCATGCAGTCGGCGATTGCCATCCTCAACTTGTTCAGCATCTTCCGTAAGATGTCTATCGTTGTCTACAAGGATGATGGTGAGCAGGACCGTCTCTACTCGATCCCCGAGCTCTTCCGAGATGAAGCATCTGAGCCCCGCGACTCGATGTCTTCTGAAGTTTAATGATCTAAAACAAAAGGGAAACATAAAAGAGGACAAGGACTCATTACTGTTTTCCAACCTGCTTCGGGCAATGGCAAAGCCCACCGTAAAGGCCAGAAGGCAGGATAAATCTAAGCACAACTGATCTGAGTATGGTTTTGAGAACTTCACTATCCTTGGGAATGATTATAGTGCAGTGTATAAGAAGCTTAAGCTTGGCGGTCATCCGGAACCCCTGAGATAGCTATTTGATATAGCTAACATGAGATAAGAATCGAAACCTGCCGTGTTGCTTCCATTGATCCTCTTTACTGCTTCTTCATCTGAAGATCCCGTCCAACCTTGTCCCAAACAGCCGAGCCCGTAGTGAAGGTAGTAAAGAACATAGCCAAACTAACCAGACCGGGGTCGAGCTTGATCCAGCCAACAGTGGTGGTGGGAAGAAGCATGTCAAGAAGGTCAGAAACAAGGGCACGAAGGAGAACGTAGCCCTCGGTGTTGATCTTCTTCATCCAAGCACGTCTCTCAGCCTTGCGCTTGGTAACGATACCCTTGAGTCGCTCACGCTCCTTGTCGAGTTCCTCCTTGGACGACTTTTCAGAAAGAGTAGTGGTAGAAGCCTCCTTCTCGGCAGAGACAAGCTCGGCAGTGTTCTCAGTAGAGGTGGTGCTGACGCTCTGGCGGGTGACGGCGGCGGGTGGGCTAGACACAAGACGATACAGTCTGATAACAGTGACGAGAACAGAAGTGTACAATCCAGCAAACCAGAAAAGCTGAGATTGGTAATCAATCTCGCTGAACTTTTCAGGGCTGAAGATGCGCAGGTTGTCAATGCCGCAGAGATCAAGGAGGGTCACAGTTTCCATCATGCCAAACATGCCGAAGCAGGTCTTGCTCACGATTTCAAGCCAGACATCAATGCTCTTATCACCTTGAGCAACGTAGACGTTCCATCCTGTTTGGAAGGTGTCCAGGAAGCGGAAGAAGCGAATGAAGCGTCGAGAGACGTTGATCTGACCACCCAGCTTGCGGAGAGGAAACGTGGAAGAGACTTTTGGCTCGATAAGAGCGAAGAGAGCTGGGTACCAGACAAGAAGAGAACAGATGGCTTGGAAACCACGAAGAATTCTTTCGATGCCGACTAGAAAGTTGATTAGTGATGTGCTCAGGGGTTGTCTTGCATGAGAGATATACCAAGGTCAGTGCCAAAGGCAACAAAGTGCTCGAATGTACCAGCCATCCTGGTTGAGCGGGTAAAGAGACAAAGGTGAAGAGGGAAAAAATGGAAAGAGACAAAACTACTGCTGCCAATTTATATACTTCTAATGCAAACAAGCAAATAGTTCTCAAATTATTGACCCTAGATGGTTAGGATAATGTTGAATAGGCGGTGTTGGCATGGGTCTAGTAGTGCCATATTAGTGGATCGCTGCGGCTATCTAAGTCCATGACCACGTTTGTTTGTATGAGAGGGCAATTTACGTTGATCAAACAGTTCAAATAATCATTCACATAACCAAACACCACTACAAACAGACTCATTGATTTTACTTAACCAACTCGGACTCCCATTGAACAATAAGTAAATATAACACAGGGCATCTACCTAATAGTCGTAGTTATGCACAAGTAACGATGCGATACACATCAATCTTCATCCCTCCTCCCTACATGACCGTTTGCTACCCAAGTCACCAATTATTGACCAGGAGACACGAGCTTGCCTTGAGACTTGGCGTTGTGGTTCCATCCGCCAGCAAGGGCCTCGCCACCGTTCTCCTGAGCGAACTTTTGCATACGAGCCTCAAGCTCAGGTCGGAAATGTCGGATAAGACCCTGAATAGGCCAGGCGAAAGCCTCACCCAGAGCTGTCATAAATTAGTGCAAAGTCATATCAAAGATTTAGAGAAACATACCGCAAATAGTGTGACCCTCAACCTGCTTGGTAAGCTCCTGAAGCATGTCAATCTCACGCTCACGAGCCTGACCCTTCTCGAATCGCTTCATTATCTGCTCTGTCCACTTGCTACCCTCTCGGCAAGGTGTGCACTGGCCACAACTCTCGTGACGGTAGAAGTGGCTGAGACGGCTAATAGCTCGGACAATATCGGTGCTCTTATCCATGACGATAACAGCGGCGGTACCGAGACCAGACTGGCTATCCTTGAGGGCATCAAAGTCCATCAGCTGGTCATCACAGACGCTCTTGGGAAGAACGGGAGTGGAAGAACCACCGGGGATGACAGCCAAAAGGTTATCCCACCCACCTCGAACACCACCACAGTGCTTATCGATCAGCTCACGCATGGGAATTGACATCTCCTCTTCAACGGTGCAGGGGTTGTTGACGTGGCCAGAGATACAGAAGAGCTTGGTACCCTGGTTACGCTCACGACCGAAACCAGCAAACCAGCTTCCTCCTCGTCGGCAGATAGTAGGGGCGACAGCAACAGTCTCGACGTTGGTGACAGTTGAAGGGCATCCGAAAAGACCAACGGCAGCAGGGAACGGGGGCTTAAGACGAGGCTTTCCGGGCTTGCCCTCGAGGGACTCAATAAGAGAAGTCTCCTCGCCGCAAACGTAGGCACCGGCACCTCGGTGCAGGTAAACGTCGAAGTCGTATCCGGATTCACAAGCGTTCTTTCCAATCAGACCAGCGGCGTAGGCCTCGTTGATGGCTCGCTGGAGAACAGCAGCCTCCTCGATGAATTCACCACGGATATAGATGTAGGCAGCAGTCGCGTTCATGGCTCGGCCAGAGATAAGACATCCTTCGATGAGCTTGTGTGGGTCCTTTCGCATAATCTCACGGTCCTTGCAGGTTCCGGGCTCACCCTCATCGGCGTTGATGACGAGGTAACGGGGCTTGTTGTCCTTGTCCCAGTCCTTGAAGTTCATAAAAGACTACCGAGCATTGGTGTTAGAGACAATTGATGCTGGCTCGGGCCTCTTGACCCTTCAAAACCAAAACAGTTTGGGAGAAACCTACCCACTTGAGACCCGAGGGGAAACCAGCACCACCTCGTCCTCGGAGACCGGAGGCCTTGACCTCGCTGATGATCCAATCGTGACCCTTGAGGATGATCTCCTTGGTCTTGTGCCAGTCACCCATCTTCCTGGCGCTCTTGAGGTCGACGGGGTATCGGTTATAGAGGTTCTGGAAAATGCGATCTTGGTCTCGCAGACCTCCGTATGTTCGCTTCGGGGCACCGTCCTGGACAGTAGCCAGACCCCTCACGGCGGTCCGTGAGAGGCCGACGGCCTTCTTGGGCGCCGTTCTCGTGGACAACATTGTGCTCGATCGTTGTCGGGTGGCGGGTTTGGAGATGGGTTGAACGAAACGTCGTCAGGATGCGGCACTTCAAGTTTCCCGGACGAGATCCATTTCGTGACCGGGTGGTTCAGAAATAGCGGGCTAATGATTGGTCAATTCATCAATCGATTATTCAGCCACTTTTGCTAGAGAGTACTTACTCCACACATATCTTTATGCTACGATACAAGTTCTTTCCATCATTTCTGTTAGGCGCATCATTTGACTTTCGCCCCCGATTTGCCGCTCATCGATTCCAAGTGTCATAGATCCAACGTCTCATCGCAGTTACTGCTTCTCTTAGCGCAATCTGAGTTTCTTTTAGGCAGTTGTTGCTTCTTTTTAGTGTGAATCGTGTATCTTCCATCGGACTAGGATTCTGCTAGGCTTTGGTATAAAGGTCATGTGACTCTATCTGCACCGGTGTTCTGCATCACGTAATCATTCAATCGAAGCTTTCTATTCGACACTGCTGATCAGCGGTATCGCAACACCAACGGCACTATCGTGGGTTATCGATATAAGCTTCACTTTATTGTCTACCGTCTCGAAAGTGATGCGCAATTTCACAACATAACAAACGTGCGATGATAACTTGAGACGCTTCCATCATGTCTAGTAAAAGACATTCGATTCTTCCTGCTATCGATCGCAGCGGTCCCAGACCACCAGTCCATTTCTCCTCGACCCTTACAATCTCCGACAATGCGATCCTCCAAGGCACACACTCGATTACTATGCAGACGGAGACAGTAATCCATCCTCGATCGAAATTCGAGTCGAACTACGGGTCTATCCTGATCGGACGTCGATGTCTGGTTCATGAAAGGGTACATATGGGAGCTCGTCCTGCAGACCTCGACACTGCGAAGCCTGGTGGCATCGTGCTGGGTGACTATGTGGCGATAGAGGCTGGCTCGACCATCGAATCTGGTGGGACCGAGATAGGAGAGGGCACTGTTGTACAACCCGGAAGCATCATAGGAAGCGGTGCCAGAATTGGCAAGGTAGACATGACCTTTCACAACTTCAGGACCAAGGGCTGACGAGTTATTAGAACTGCACCATCACACACATGTCCAACATTGCTCCCGGTACTGTGTTGCCGGACAATACTGTAGTGTTTTCGAACGGGACAAGACGAATCGACCGACGTGAGCTTTCTGATCAAAGAAAGATTGCTTTAATTAAGCAGCTCGCAATATTGCGAAAGATGATACCCAGCAACCCAGACAAGTTTAAATAGAGATACCCAGCACACAGCAATGGTCAATATGATATTTATAATTCATTGATTAATATGCTGTTGTTATCTTCCTTTTAGTCTAAAATGGCATAAACTAGAACTGATTTCATCTCACACAACCATACCTCAGGGTATCAGAAAAATTGACCACTAGAAGCATACGAGACGAAACTAGTAGGTCAGTTTATGCTCCTTAGACTATACTTCTTAGACTCCTTATTTTTATACCCTATGGCTTAGGATGCCATTTTTTCTGCTACCCACTAGCCATACTCCAAGGGGTATATATCATTAGAAGAAAATAAATAAGAGATGGAATCATAGACAGCATTTGCTTTACCTTCTCTGGTCTCTGTGGAACAGGGTCAGCCCCGTGATCACTGTCATGATAGCCCATCGCTCTCCTAAAAGACCCGTCAAACCCGTTCCCATAAAGCGATAATGTGCGACCTTTGTTAAACTTCTCCCATTACCCATGGTCCAAGCTGCCACGACTTCGTGTCCCATACTGTCCCTAAAGCCGCCTGGGACAAACCCTGGATTGGCTCCTGGTGGAGGTCCTTGAGCCAAACGAACCAGTTTCCAACCATGATAGTAGCCGCCCAAGCTTGCCACAGCATCACCACTGGAACGTCTCCATTCAAACGTTTCCCGCGGTCCATTCCCGCCTGGTCCGACTTCGATAGAGAAACGAAAGGCAGTACTAAGACCGCCGTGAGAGCCCACGGGTATAATTCGTTCACGGGCTAGCGGAGCCCCTGAGCCTGGCACAGGAGGGAGTTCAACTTCGAAGGAAAGACTCATGAGCATAAAGTTTGCCGAAGCAAGTGGTTGGTATGATTCGTCTGGGCCGGAATGTAAGAGGACTGGTGGTGCAGCTGATAGACCAGTGTGCACTGAGCAGACGTAGAGAGGCTGTTGTTGATGCTCTGCAAGTGTGAAGGAGACATTTGGCCAGCCTTGAGAGTAAAGATTGAATGTAGGTGGAAACTGTCTCGGGATAGATGGCGTTTGGCTCGGTCCAGCAACCGGAGGGGGCGGTTGTGTCGATGATCCTGCTTCTGCCTCTAGTGGCAGTGGTGGTGCTTGGGGTGATGAAGCCTTTTGATATTTGCTTTGACTCTCATCATACGAAGGCGGAGGTTCATCTGGCACAGAAGAGTCAGACAATCCCATTTTCCCTAAAAGACCCATTGTGGATGTTGGATATAAGTGAGAATGTCTCTATGAGAGTTGGGGAGTTTATAGTATGCGATGTGTCTGTATCACCAAGTTCAAGATCAACGTCAGTAGATCACAGTATAGTTTGAAGAGGATTGTGAGTCAGTCTGTTATTGTGTAAAGGTATTCGGTACAGAATTGGAAGGCATCAGGTTTCTATATTAACAAGCATTTCGGTCCATGCCGAGAGTAGTGACATCAGCTGGATGCTGCTACGTAGTAGAATGTGGCTGTGACAGCTCAGGTTGAGGCTGTGCTATTCCAGTACACTTATGCAACATATTATGCTATGCAATAACGGTCAGCGACGTGAGTGACCGTTATAAACGCTGGGGAGTTACATGGCATTGCCGGTATCCGACGGTATGTGGGCAACCTAACCACCCATAGAAATATTTCTTTATAAGCCAAGAAAAGGATGCGAACCTCCGAATCAGGAGTCTTGTGACACGTCGTCTGTTTACATACGCATGATAATATGGGGCTCTACAGAAGCCCTGGAATGAATGACATGCTGTCCGTCCGTGATGCTAAAAGCATGCAACTATTCCGGGGTACTCGGCATTAGAACACGCGTATCCGTATCCACCCCCAGGTGCTGAAACCATGGAAGGCAAAGCTAAAGCTGCAGCTATGATGTCGATGCTTGATGACAAACAATCGCATGTCCCAAGCCAGTGGAAGAAGCACGTGCTGCCAACGCATGATGATCTGAGTTATGGCTTGTAACAAGATGGGTGTATATCACGATATTGGAAACCTGCCAAGTCCATGAATAGAAATACGAGTCATTCATTCATATTCATTGTATAATAACCAAGCCCACTCCGATGCAAGACCGAGTCATAAACAAGTACATGTCTAATGTATACATATGCTAACCACACCACCATCTATCTAAACACCCAAATGCGTGTCTTTATCGATCGCTTCAGTAAAAACAATAATTCCAAACATTGACTGTATATGCCATGTAATAAATGCAAGAACTTTTCAAAACAGATAATAAAAACAAATTATATATGCTGATGCCACGCTGAGTATGAGTTGTACAAACAAAAATTAGAAACTGAAGAGGGCGCTGCGACGCTTGCCCAGTGGGTAGATGAGCAGTGAACTCATAAAGAGTCCAACAGCAATACCAATGGCAATCTGGATCATGGAAGCAGCGACGCTAAACACCAGGTTGTCAGGGTTGCTGCCTTGTGTGAGCTGCACAGAAGACGTTCCTTGGATCTCGCCGGTCGCGTTGGTAAGAGAGTTGGCAACTTGCAGACCGCTGAGCAATCCTCCGGTAGACGCAAGACTTCCTGGCACTTGGCAGAACACCGCGGGGATGAGAATCGCAGCTGCGACACCGTGTCGGAGTCGAGAGTAGAGGTTGGCGAGCAGACCGACAGCAAAAGCACCAAGCGTGCTGGAAATCTGAGGGCTGGACTTGAACTTTTGGGCGGACCAGTAGTTCACCATGTATCCGGCAAAGGAAACAATAACCATGACGGGCATCTGGCGCCATTTTGCTTGGTAGATGACGCATAGACTGACGACGAAGGGAGGAACAAAGAGGAAGGCGTAGTAAGGGTTCATGGCGTTGGGGCAGGTCGTCGTGTTGGATGGGTCAGAGTCAAACAATCCGTAAAGAACGGAGCCGACGGTGATACCGAAACCGAGAAGAAGAGAGTAGATGACGGCGTATACGATTCGAATCGATCCGGGAACGATGGCACGGGATTGTAGTTCGAGAGCAGAGCATACTAGTTGCACATGTTAATTATACCACCCTTGAAAAGGTCGGATTGGATAGATCGTTGACTTACAAACCATGTAACCGGGCAGCAACATGACGATTCCGCCCTGCGCCAACGCACCAAAACAGAATATCTCTTCGCCGCCCATTTTGATACTACCAAAGGTTCGGGCCAAGAGACTGACAACAATGGTGGAAGACACTTCAAAGACGTTGCTGTAGAGAGCAGAGTTGGGTGCCACAACAAGCTGCAGCACTCCGATAAGACAACCGAAAGCGAAAATGAGGGGAAGATCGATCAGACGAGCTCCGAAAGAGAAAGGGGCTGCAGTGGCACTCATGAGTCCAAACATGACGACTCTAAGCCACTTGTGGAATTTGTCCTTGCGCTTCATGAGATTTTCGAGCTTCTCGGTCGCTTCCTCAACGCCACAAATGTCGTGCATGACTTCCTTGTAGATGAGGTGGACGTCCTTGAGTTTGCCTAGATCGATACCTTGTCCGGTACGCACGATTCTAACTTCAGTAGTGTGTGTGGACTTGTCGTCGAACGAGATGATCATGCATCCTGGTAGGTAGAGGAACTGGCCATCAATCTCGAGAACTCTGGCCGTCATGCTGAGATACTCCTCCAATCTATGGGTGGGAGCTCCAAACATCATCAAAGCACGGCATAGTTTGATGATGTAGCCCTGTCGGGCCAGAGTCTCGGCGATGTGGACGGTAATGCGTGCTTCTTGTTGTTGCCAAAGTCCACTCAATCGGTTTGCGCTATGCGTTCGTCGGTTGGCCGGTCTCTGAGGTTTCTTTCCATTCTTCTTGGACTTGTCGCCGGCTGCGTCGTTGGGGTTGGCGAGTCGCGATGAAGCCTCGATAAGGTTGGCGAGTGTATCTTGTGACTTGTTCTGGTCGTACCATTTGCGCCTCGGCGTAGAAGCACCAGACGGTGTGCCTTGAACAGTGGGGGTTCCATCGCTAATCACGGAAGAAGTAGAGGCAGCTCGGTGGTGTGTGCCCTTAAAAGATGGCTCTGGGGGCTTGTAAAGCTTCAGAAGCTGCGACAAAACGCTTCCGCGATATTGTTCGGGTGCAGGTACATCAAAGACTCCGTCAAAGTTACCATCGTTGAGTTCCGTCAGTTTGCGCTCCTCTTTTCCTTTCCCCTTTGTTTCCTTGTCTTCAGGCGAGTTCTGGCCAGTGCTGGAGCTGGGTCCGAAACGCTGGGTGTGTGCTCGGACAAGCTTGAAAGCCTCATCTTTCAAGCCAGTGCCCTCCTTGTCTTCGGAGGGGAGCTTGTGGAAACCTTCCTTGCTGCTGCCTGCTTCGGTAAGATCCTGGAGGGGAATGCTGGAGCCGTATGGGCTATCGTAGCCTGGTGTTCCAACGGTGCTGGACTCGAGTGAGTCTCTGTCTATAGCAGATGAATCATTGTGAATGTTGTCAGCCATGATACGGGCACGTTCTCGCGCAGCGACCATGGCCTCCTTTGACTCGGGATCCGACTCATCGTCATGATCCTTGAGATTGAGAGTCTTGACGACTTCGGCAGAGCTGCCGCGCAAGAGTGAAGGTCTAGGCTTAGCAACACCTGGAGCTTGCGGAGCAGCCGGAGGGTTTGCTGGGGACTGTGGGGGATTGGCAGCGGCGTTGCTGTTGAACCTCACGCGTGCCTTGTCCTTCCTGAGAGCAGCAGCAGCACCTTTTGGACTTGATGGTAGTTCCGGCTCGGTGCTGGCAACTGGCTTGGGTGGTGCAGGGCCAGGTTCAAGGTCCGGTTCGTCCTTGATATCCCTTGAAGAGCCTTCCATTGGGGTTTGTTTTTGAGTTTGAAGTTGCAGCAACTAACTTTAGTGTGTATCCTGCGAAATCAGGGTATCAGTTGAGGATGGATTTTAGTAGGGTAACGAGCGTGTAGGAGGAGAAAAGATGGGACTATGACCAAAGGTAAACAGGGTTAAACTGGGGATAGATGAGAGTTTCGTGGGGAAGGGATTGGTGAAAAGGGCAGGATTTACGTTTTCTATTATACGATACAGTCAAGAGATCCATCAGACCCCGTCTATGGGGTGAAGTTAGTTATGGTGCAATAGATATCGTGAGTATCCGTAATATGTGCCACTATAATTTTTGACCAAGACGGGCCCTGACCATGTCCGGCAAAAGCAGCGATCATCTTCGGCTCGTACAATACCTACCAATTGGCCCCGTGACGTAGGATGTGGAGGCACAGGGAGGGAGCGTTTCTAGCATTCGAGACTAGAAAGTCTTGGGACTTCCTGGGAATCTATTGCGAAACCGCTTTGCAAGTTTTTGTTATGTAAGTTGAAAGACGTAGTGGCCACCGGAAGCTTCTCCGAGCGCCAGTCCGGGGGTTGACCGGTCCACAACGATGAAAACACTAATCAGACTCATGACTCTTGACGTTCTATTTAGAGGGAGAATTAGCAGATTTTACATGAACCAGGAGGTGAGAAAGTGAAAGGGGACAGGGGAACCGATAGTCTAGACTTTGGTCCCGATGCCCAACTGGAGCCGCATCTCGACTATCAAGGTCTGTTCGGTTGTAGTCGCTTCCATCGCATTTCGCCTCGACAAAAAACTGAACAAGAGAAATTGTCAAGGGCCTTACTAGCTGGGTTAGCACTGGCAGTCTCGGCAGACCAATGCACGATTCGTCTTGTTTTTACCTGATTCAGTAATCTTCTAGTGGATCTGTACCTGCAGGGACTTTTCCTTCTTTCCCATTCCCACTCTCTCTCACCCAATAGAGTATGGTACCGAGAATACTTTTGACAGGGAGGCTTGCGGCTTGTCGGTGTTACGGAGCACTAGAAGGGAAAGGACTGTTCTAAACGGTCAATTGCTTGCACCCGAAACGCTACAAGTTGCACAAATCAAGCATAGATCCCTTGCACAGCATAACTTAGCGTGACCTGGTATAACATGCAGACATACTAACAGCTTTTAAGTTTCTGACGAACCAGGGGAATAAGATTGATACTCAGTTATTATATCCAAGCTCAACTTCCAATATCAATGCGTTCTGATATACATAGTAACCCATGATTCTCATCCATCAGTGTAGATCGATTCATCCCCAACGGTCCACGCAATTAATGCATGTGCTCCAAATTCGTCACGTCGTAAAACGGTTCTATATTTGTACAGTAGATCAATTGTACATCCAAATATATAAAGTGGCACGACATCCCTTTGTAGTCAACACATCGATCGGCAACGCGCAATCGCATACCCGCATGATAATCAAACCTCCTATCTTCAGGACCGACCATCATCAATGTGTCATGGCATTCTCAAACAGTCTTCGTAACTGGTCCTTCTCCGCTTCCAGCTCTGTAGACAATCCTGGTGCCAGCATCAACACACGTGCCTGCGGAATGGTACCCTCCACAAGGGCCTCAATGTGTTCCGTGCCAAAGCCCAGGTCCTTCAGACCCTTGGGCTGGTCACCCAACTCTGCCAAAAACTTTGTGATGGCCTCAGCGAGAACTTCGCCTGCGCTCTCTCGCTTCACGTTGCTGATATCTACACCAAAGGCCTCGGCCGCTGCCAGATGACGGTCTGGGTTTGAAGCGGCGGTGAACCGAAAGACAGCCGGAGCGGAGACGGCCACAGAGACACCGTGGGGAATGAGCGGCGAAGCTACCTCGTAGCCATCGTGACTGTAGCCCGGGTTCTGGCCAGAAATGGGGTACGACATGCCTGGGTTCACATTTAGTTTCAAACAGGGGCAAAAAAGGGAAAATAAAACAAAGCGGTATATGCACTAACCATGACAAAGATGAACTCCGGCATTACCGAACCCAACACCGGCCAGCGTGGAAGCCAGAAGCATCTTGGATTGGGCCTCAAGGTCGTCAGGGTTCTTCACTGATCGAGGGAGGTACTTGATGGTATCGCGAAGCGCATGAAATGAGAAGACATCGGAAATGGGGTTGGCGCCCTGGTATGCTGGACGAAGGATGGGGTTTGTTGGTCTGGGTGTTCGTTCGTTGTACGGAATGGCGGTCCAGGACTCAAGCGAGTGGCAAAGAACATCGAGGCCCGAAGCAGCCTTGACAGCGGCAGGCATGGTCCTAGTGTTGAGGGGGTCGCAGATACCAAGTGTAGGCTTGAGGTTTCGATGAGCGACTCCGGTCTTGGCTCGCTTAGATACAAGGTCAAAGATGGCGGTTCCCGTTGTCTCACTGCCGGTGCCGGCTGTTGTAGGGACGGCGATGAGTGGTGTTAGCTTCTTATCAATGGGACGGCCCTTGCCTAGAGGAGCGTTGACAAAGTCCAGGAAGTCAGCGTCAGGGTACGCTGTGTAAAGGTTCATAAGTTTGGCTGTGTCCATAACTGAACCACCTCCAACGGCCAGGAAGGCATCTGGTGCATATGGACGGGCCCAAGCAATTGCTTCTTTGATGCTGTCCTCTGTAAGTGAACTGACCCGTTCGTCTACAAAGTCAAACTTACGAGCTATCCTTTGGTTCAACACGAACCTTGGAGTACACTTCGAAAGGAATGCCCTCCCGAGTGAGAGCTTCACGGACTTGTCTCATGGCATCCAACTTGTTGACAGTCTCATCGGTCACGACGCAAACACGCTGAGCTCCCATGTTCTTCAAGTCCATACCAACTTCCTGAGTAACACCAGGACCAAACCTGATGGACGAAGCAGCCATCTCAAAGGCGTACTCCTTCTGACCCGGGTGTGTAGTTGGAGTGGCATACTTGCGCTGGTGAGCATGCTTTGATGGAGTGAAAGATGGTGTTTGATGGTATCCTGGGTTTGAGTGACAAGGGCATGAAGGTGGGTGTGTATACTGAATAGTGCGTAGCAAGCTGGTAGCTCGCTTAGCAGCCTGGTGAGGAGATGTAAGTATACTATTTCGATATGAGGCCACTCAGACTGTGTCACGTACGTTGGGAACAACTCTCACAGAGGGAACCATGGTTTCGTTAGTATCACTGAGACTGTCGAGATGAGATGTTCTTTCACAATGAAGTGACTAGGTTCGACAAGACAAGGGTTTTGAGGCAACTTCAGCTCCTCTGGTTACAACGGTTACGACGGGTAAGAATAGCTTTGTATTATGTATGCACAACCTCGGCTTATCGAGGACCAACCCCCGATTGCGGGGTGAAGGCCGATCTGGGGGTGTAATGATGCGGCTTGATTGATTCGTGAGGGGAAAGCGGATCTCCAGCTTCTGAGAAGGAAGTTGAATTGAGAAATTGCCTAATTGGGTATTTAGCTGACGTCGTTTTGAACATACCCAGTACTACAAATCATTATATCATGAGATGTCAACATTCGATTGTTACTCGATATGTACCTAACTGTCAAGTACAAATACAAATACATAAACCTAGATCAATAAACCTCGATGTTGATGTTCTGATTCTATATAGTACCGAAAAGATCAAAGCAATTGACTAACGCATGTTTGAGGAATAAATTCAATAAGTCAAAATTACATTTTTAGACCACTCAACTATTTCAAGGGTTAGTTGTTTATTCTTGACATCCTTCAACTGGGAGATCCAGTTTCTTAAGATCCTCTCCTATAGGTTAGTTAGGATAAGACAGAAGTCATGTTTAATAGCGACTCAACTAAGCGGCATCAGTGGTAGGACGCAGGATTGCATTGATACGCAGTTATCAGAATATGTCAATTAATCAAGCTACCAAACTTTGAAGAGAACCCCATCAAAGAATATGACAATTCATCAAAAGCAAATAAGCTTGAATCTCAACTTCGGGTAAAAAAGATCGGGCGGGTATACCCAGCATGATTCGGTAGATGATGCCTAGGGTAGGTTCAGATTGACACAGCGAATATTGTTTTTACCACAGTATTTTCAGGAACTTACATTCTCTTCTTAATTTCAGCGGGGTTTGGACAGTATTCTTTTCTTTTCTTATTATTCTACTTGTGAGTTAGTGATGACTACAGAGAAAACAAATCACTTACACAGCATATATATCGTACCTGCTAACTTGAGTGGGTATTTTAATGCGACCTGTGCCAAATACGCAACACCAATATCACTCCCACAAGATCTGCCTTGAAAATGTTCACAACCAACAACTCTGGATATCATCAAATAGTGAAGCTCCAATTACTCCAAGGCCAAGCTTGACGCGCGCCATTCCCAAATGTGGCGTGGGATACCGCTGACCTCATCATGTGGCGTACATATGCTCGACACATGACTTTGATAATGTAGCTCGACAACAGAGAATCTCTATCGCTAATTATACTGAATTCTGATTGAAGATGATAACATGTTGTAAGTGATATATTAGATAAAAACACCTCCAAAGTAAGCTCTTAGTGCCAAAACTACCGACTATAGCAAAAACCGTTGATACTCAGCTACAAGCTGCAGTGGAGCATCAGAGGCAGGTACATGTACGCAGCCTAAGCAGGTGTCCACCCGAAACCTCCACCTCGAAATAGGGAACCTCCAGCCACTTTGGCATTGACCTCGACTCGACGACTTGTCCTCCAACTACGACTTCAACCTACATTCGACCTATATCATCTACTCGATACCAAGGCGCTAAACAACGCGCCTTGGACTGCGCAGTCGCTCGTTCAATTAATCCCTCGAACCCGAAACAATCCGACGCCAAACCGTTACTCCTAAGAAAGAACATGCCTCCTTGCTCAGCTTGATGCACTGCGTGATTCCGTTCCCCCAACTCCCTCATGGACCGCGCAAACGGGGGTGGCCCCGGTGCAGCTGCGGCTGCCAGCAGGGCAGAGCGATTTGAGGATGAGAAGCGCCGCATTGT